CCTTCTCAAAAACAATGTTTAGCTATACGTATTTGTAGTATTTTAGAGATCCACCGATTACAATTTTCTAGGCCGATTCCGATTTTTCAGAGTTTGACCTGCCGATTCAGATTTTAGCCGATTCTGATTTCATTTTTTTCTATCCGCTTCACGGCGCACACATAAATATTTATTTTCTCTCTCTTTCCTTTAGTAGAACAGTTTACATAGAATTTTTTTTAACAGTAAATCGCTATAAAATAGGACTATATAAATTACTCCTGGTGTGGGAAATTCAAACACATCTAAAGTGCAAAGTGCAGTGTTATCGAAGAACCATTTTCTTCTTTTCACAACTAAAAAAAAATGTTAATTTAAAAAAGAAAATTGATTTTCTTTTCTGACATATACTTAAGTTCAAAGATAAGACAAAAAAATAAAATACTAATCTGACGTATGCCCATAAATACGTCATAAAATAGGTCTGACGTATGCCCATAAAATAGGTCTGACGTATCCCCATAAAATAGGCATAAGTCAGACTGACCAGTCGGTTGCCGATCACCAGCCGATTAATCGGTGATCTCTTATTATTAAAATAAATAAATAAATAAATAAATACAATCCAGACCTGTCATAAAAATCCCTAACTGTACCACACAGCCTCTCATGACTTGGGTAGTTCACACCGAAAATAACTATATTAGTGTCTACACCAGTGGAACGATAAGTAAGGGATGAAGTACATCTAGCCGCTTGTTATCTCAGAATAAACCCAGAAAGTGTCATCAGGACCCTGACGCGAAGCAGAGGGGTCTTGCTCACTCTGAATGTGTTTATTCTGCGAAAACCAGCTGGACGTACATTATCCCGCTTACTTAATGGCTACTTGCCACTAGTGCTGGGCGGTATACCAGTTCATGCCAAAAACAGGTGTATATTTGTTATAATATTAATTTTTAATATACCCCCATACCGATGTATTTCATTCGCTGCGCCGCGCGACACTGTTTCAGACGGACCCTTTACAATGTTGCACTTCTAAGCAGCGACTGCGAGTCGAGGGAAAACAGCATTGCTCTGGTGTTACGCTACAGGGAGAGATGCTGCAGAACTATGGCCTTATTTTCCTGTCAAATGTCGAGAGCGCACCACTGTAGCGCGAAAGTATTAATATAATGTTGAATAGGTCTATTTTCTCTGGGCTCGCTGCACATAAAAAGTGTTCAGCGCAATCGTGAATCTCTTCTCTTCCCCTTATAAACTAACAATTTTAGTTTATAAGAACATTTTCATAACGTTCCCATTAAGTTATAAAAACGTAATTTCTGAATATTTTGGAACGTTCAAAACGTCCAGTTTTTTAGACGTTGTATTAACATTTTTTCTTGGTTAAAAGAACATTATTTAAAAACGTTATAAGAACGTTCAGTTCTCCCGTTATATAGAAGTTGTATTAACATTCTTGCTTGGCTATAATATCATTCAAACGTCATTAGAACGTTCAATTTTCCCATTATATAAACGTGGTATTTTAACGTTATTTCCTGGTTATAAGAATGTTATTAGAATATTAAGAAATAACAATTTTATAAAAATGCTTTGAACACCTGATTATGCATGAAAAACCATCATAAACCGGAAAACCGGGTTAATTTTGAAAAAAAAAAAGTGATGGTGAAAGTGAATTAGACACGAAATATTGACTTTTTGAAATATTTAATTATGTCTTGAAACGCAAAGCTTCCATTGAGAGATGTTGCTAACAAGCGGCAAGTTCCACTAAACGGACATTTGAGGGGTGCGGTTACACTTATTATTACACTGCATTTACACCACATAAATAATTATTGGGATAAGAGATACTGATCTGAGATGAAACCAAACCATTTTAAAATTGTATCCATTTGTCATCTTATACCCATTTTAGTGTACAAAACAATCATTGCTAAATGGCAGCAGCTACGTTTGTATGAAACAAAAGAGTGAGTCCGCAATACTGGACGACGTAATTATATAATTGTGCACATTTATTGATTTTAGTTCATATTTTATTAGCTCACCAAACTTTCAGAAATAGGAAACGCTCCTAGCAAGCGTAGCATTGACTTTCAATTTTTACTGGTTGTTATTGGGAAATAACATATCGCTGGATGGTGCGATTGACCAATCAGAATCTAGTATTCAACTGAGTAATAATGTTATTTAGCCTAACTGTTAAATAACATTAACTGTTTATTATAAGCGCATAAAGTGCAGTTTTGATGTCTACTGCTTTACATGCTCAAGCTCTTTAAAGCAGGATTGGCTGTCAATGTTTTTATCAGCTTGGGGGGAAAAAATAGGTAGTCATAATTGGTTTTCATAATTGTTGTAAATCCATAACAATTATACCTGACCTGGAAGCATCTCTGTGGAGAGCCATCTTTAACTTACAGTATCTGTGCTGAGAGCCACGTTTAACTGAGCTGAACTTTATGAATGCTGACTCGCAGTCTTGCTTGAAGCACTGATGGAAACTTCAGCTTGTGTAAACTAAAGTGTTTCACTTTAAATGGGAGAAAAAATATTTGAAAATATTAAATGCCGTTTCAAATCAGCTATACACAAATATGCATTTGTTCATCAAAATGTAATTTAAAGAACACAATCAAACAACAACAAAAACAAAAAAGCTGTATAGTATCCCAGGAGACCCCCCCTCCTTTCTGTATGAGTGATAATAGGACCTGTCGAGTCTACAACTCTATAAAAAAAAAAAAAAATAGGCTCCACTTTTCACCCACCACAAATTGGCCTCACACTGCGTGGAGAATTAGTGGCTCCGTTTAAATAATCAAAACCAGATCATTCCTTTTCAGCCGCTCTCGCTCTGCGAGTTGTGGAAAGTGTCAGTATGGAAAAAAAGTCATTGCATCATAAATAACTATTTAATAATGATCCAATAAATTAGTGGGCATGGGTTCTGTTTCTGAAACATTTCATAAACTGGGAATATATGATAAGGCAACTAACTGCAGCGCTCTCATGATGGAATAACCTATTACGGTGGCAAAAAAGACAGCTATAATTAATCCAACTATTCTTTCACATATCTTACAGTGGAGTTTGAACCACCAAAGACACTTCAAGGACATCACTGTGAGATGATTGAGATGAAACCCCCAAGAAGTGATGTCACGCAATATACATGATGCAAAATTATATTGGATATTGGATTCTTGAATTCATGTACAGTCCTTACTGAATATCTTGCCTCAGTCTTTCACGTGTCCAGTGGTTCTCAGTTACCTACTGGTCTATAAGACAAGTGATATGACAGATACGCCTGATCAGAAGTGATTGTACTGAGCCACTCTAACCACCAGTTAAAGTCCATCAGTCAGAGGTCAGTTCTTCAGGAGACACAATCATCTCCACTGACCACACTTTGTGGTAAAAGTGTAATTCTTCAAGTAGCATTTGAAGGATAAAACTGTGACATTGTTGAGTTTACAGTGAGAATTATGAATTATGAAAATAAGTGTAATGTGATTGTCAAAACATTAGGTAACAGTGTTGTAGTCGAGACCACCGCACTCGAGTCCGAGTCGACACCGAGACCAGAGAGAGTCGAGTCCGAGTCAAGACCGAGTCCATAGAGAGTCGAGTCCGAGACCAGAGACGGTCGAGTCCGAGTCGAGACCGAGACCAGTGAGGGTTGATTACCTAATTTACTTTTATTTACTTAGAGAAATCCTTTTTTTATTTTACTGAATTTACTTAGAGTTTAAAAAATATGATCAGTTTAGGGTAAAAAGGCCACATAGTAGGTGGTGTTAAAAGTAATTTTATTACAATTTGTCATGCGCAGTTGCGCACTAGAAAATCACCAATCACTGGGCGTGTCAATCAATTTAAAGAAATATTTTATTAACATACATTAATAATCATGAAAAATATTTTGAATTGAACTCGAGTGGACTCGAGTGGAAAAAAATGTTCGAGTACGAGTCAATTCCGAGTCCAAATGGACACGAGTCCATGACAAGACCAAGACCATTAAAATATGGTCTCGAGACCGAGTCCGAGACGAGTCCGAGTCTCGAGTACTACAACACTGTTAGGTAACTAAACAGAATTTCATTACATTAAGTGAAAACATGTTACGACGACACATGACGATTCCGAACTTGATTTAATAGATTCATTTGGTAAATATCAGGTAGATTAGCCATGTTCATTTTTCTCAAGAAAAAAGGTGGGGGTCAGCAGCTTATTTACAGAGACCTTGCACATGGGGAAATTTGTATTGGTACCGACTGGTTCAAAACAAGAGATTGCAGGTCTTCACTGGTTTAATTGTCAATATGCGTTTGACTTCATGCAGTGCGGCACAGACTGAAGGGCATACGAGAGATGAAAGAATCCCAACAGTGACTCGAAAGCACAGCTCGCGATTCTTGATGTCACATGGAAAGCGATCCACACAAAACAGTGGCTTTTTTAAATTTGCTGTGAGATTTGATGTGAAACTGCTAACTTTCCTATTTGAATGATGTTAGTATTGTTATCCAAATCAATTAATACAACTAAACCTGTAAAATAAAAGGAACTAGATGTACTGTAAGAATCTCCATATATTAACTATTTTTGTATTGCCAGCGTGAACAGCTTGTCACGGAATTTTAAAAACGAGACCTTCCCAACTTCCTAGGTTGTCAACAAAAGCCTGTAATGCGTGTTTTTATATGTGAATGACGTTTTGGCTTGTGTCATTTTAGTTGTGTATGTGCACATCAGTGACAGGATGTTTGTTAACAGTATATCACTGCAAAGGTATTTCCAACTTATTTTTACTTCTAAGCCAAGAACAACAAAAAATAAAAACTAGAAAAACTTCAATGCGTATTTCAGGGCATTGAATCACGTTCAGTCTCTTGTGTAACAGTGTCATGAATAACAATGAATTCTACTATTAGATGAAAAAGCTAAGTTAAAGAATTAAAATTACTAAAACAAATATAAAGCTACATGTAAATACTAAAAACAAACCTAATAACCAGACACAACATTTTTTTTTTTTTGAATTATGTCATTCAAAAAAAATAAAACACTTATTAACATTGACGTTACCAACGCCAGCAGGGCTTGAGGATTGCTATTGAAAGCCGTCCTGTTGATTTACGGACTGTGAAAACACAACAGAGTCACTCCTCAAGTTCAAAGGGAAGATACGACTGTACGACACTGAGAAAAACATTCCAGCATCACTGAAGCATTCCAGCTTTCGGAGACAACACTCTGGAAGAAAACACGGCTTTGTGGAACGCCGCGACACTCTTCCCACACCCAGACATGACCCACATGGTTTAGAGCCGGGACACGGCAGGGGGAGACAGACAGCCGCATGCACAGAGACAGATGGAGGAGCATGCAGCCATGTTGAAAAGACTCGCAGGGTCACGAACCTCTACGAGAAATTAGCACAGACAGAGAGAGGGAGATCATGACGGGATAAAAGTCTCAGATAAAGTGTCTCATGTGGACGGCAGCTGTGTGACAGTTATCACTCATACTTAGAACACACACATCCTGTACATGAATCACAGGACACAATCTGACCAAACAGCCAGAGTAGGAAGACTTCTGGTGTTTCCCATGCTTTTATGTCTCGCAATACCCCCACAGACCCATCACGTCGGCTCAAGGACCCCTTCATCAACAAAGCACTCATTAAGCGGGATATCCTTTTGAATTACTATTAATATGATCAAGTGTCCTTTGATTATGATATCAATGCTGTGGGAGAATAACAGACTCATTAAGCAGCTTCCCTGGTGATCACATGTGGTCAATAGAGATACTTTATCATTTATGTAGAAATCAAATCCAGATGGGACATTTAACAACAGTAAAGTCATTTGTTAAGTCATTTATTTTGTCAAAGCTCAAGTATGATATCACCAACGGGTCACATACACACAAACTGACAACCATCAATAATAAATAAATAGCTATAAACAACAAAAATCTAATGTTTTTAATTTATTTTTTTATGCATCTTTGAAAAGATACATTAACCCTGGAGTTAACATTCCAGAGGGAAAGAAAGACTAGATTTGTTTTAATCTATATAGTGATATTTATTTATAGTATTTTTTTAAGTGAATACATTCACTCAGCAAGGGCACATATTGATCAAACGGCACAATTTTGTAAGATTATAAATGTTTATTTTAAATGAATGTTGTTCTTTTAAACTTTCCATTCATCAAATGATCAAGGATATTGAAAAAAATATATATATATCACAGATATATTAAGGAGCATTAAAATAATCAACAATGATAATAATAAATGTTTCTTGGCCAGCAAATCAGCATCAGAATGATTTCTGAAGGATCATGTGACCCTGAAGACTGGAGTAATGATGCTGAAAATACAGCTTTGCATCACAGAAATAAAATTGAATTTTAAACTGTTTTTGTAGTCATATTTCACAATATACTGGTTTTACTTTTTGACCAAATAAATGTATCCTTGGTGAGCATAAGAGACTTTACCGACCCTTGTGAACAGTAGTGTACATCAAAGAGAAGACTTTGCCATCTTAACCCATCTCCTGCCTAAATACTGGATTTTTCTCTTCAAGACTCCAGTAAATCGCACATTACAGCTTCACAGCATCCTCCAGAAATAACTTACTTAATGAATCAAATTATGATCTTCTATGATGATCCAAGCTCAATTGGCAAACCAATTTGTAATTTCAAAATTTCAGGTAGCATGGCAGAGCACAGATGCTGATAATTGCATGTTTTTGTGCATGCACACATCTTAACTTAGCCATTATTTCCCAAAGCATTTGGGTTCTAAAATTCTTTACACACACAAACACACACTTAGCCAGCTAAACAAGGACATTCCATAGATAATGTTTTTTATACTGTGAAAATTGTATATTCTATCCCCTTAAACTAGCCCTTCCCCTAAAACTACTCACACAAACCCTTCTTCATTTTTACAAAACCTTTAGCTAAGTACTTTTATACAAAATGTACAAATGAGGATGCCCCTAAAGGGAGATTTTGTTTAGCCTGGTTCAACCAGACTCTAGTAGTTCATTTCATTTCCACATAGAGGCTGGAACCGCTCCATTGAGAAACGTTTCCTTCCTTGTAGGCGGGTTCACTATTAAAGTTCAAATCTATTGGATCTGCCCAAAGTCACTCACGATCTGCCATAGCCAATCGCTAACGGGGTGTCGTGAGTGACGTATGTCACGCTCCGAAATGGCTGGAAACAAGTCCGAATGATCAGAGGATTATGTTTAGAATAGGATTTCAGTCAACGAGCGCCGCGGCCCGCAGGTTTTGTTAATCTAGGAACAATTATTAATTCGAAATGTATATTTGACACGAAAGACAGTGATATAGGCCTATTCATTCAACGGTGGAAGCTGTGTCTAATCATTACAAATACGCCGCTGTGGTCGTTTTCTGATCTGCCGCAAATTTGTAGCAGCTACAGTGAATGATCAGTCTGTCTCTATCTGCAGATGTGTAATAAACAACAATTTTTCATATTACGTCTTATTGTTTCTTAATTACCTTAATTATGGTCTTCAAAGTATGTGTTTGTACATTTTTATGTGGCATTTAGTTTTTTTTTTAGTAAAACAAATCAACCATTGCCATCTAAAACTGAAAATCAAATATCTTCAAAGTATGGTTTTTCACATTTTTATTTATGACAATTATTTTTTAAAAATCACAACCAATTTGTATGATTTACAACATGTAAAACTGACACACCAACCTCCTGCACGAGTGCACAAAGGGGCTCAAAATGTTCTATTCATCACAAGAATCAGTAACTATACAGTTGGGAACATGAGCGACTGACATGACTCCTAAACGGATCTTCAACAATAGTTTAGCAGCCAGGACTTGGGGCTTCCGAACACCGCGAACACCAGGCTAAACCGTCCGTCCAAAATGTCACGGTCATGGGTCTTCGTGCACGAGCTGCCCAGCAAAAACTTCCAAACTTTCTGTCTCCTTCACTTGGTCCTCAGTTGTGCAACAAGAGGTGAGAGGATAACAATCCGGCTTTAAATTCTGTATATTCGGCAGTTTCTTTTCCAACAACGGACCTAATAGCTTTTCTCACGTCTTTCTCCGCTGCCATTACTGAACTCAAACTGACGCGCTTACATCAACGTCATCTTTCTCAGCCACTCCCTCTATTCGCTGATTGGTCCTACAAAAAATTGATTTCTGGAAACCTAAGGATATGGAGCGATCCCAGACGTAGTCAAGTGGTCCTCGATGCAGAGCCAAATGGGAGGAGCTGGAGCTCTAGCTCCTCCCCTCGCTGGAGCTCCAGTTCCTCCCCTCGCTGGAGCTCCAGCTTCACCGCGCACGCGCAGGTTAACTTCCGAGCACTCGGCATGATTTCAAAAGCAACATATTTCAGCGCCAGCTTGATTTTTATTGAACACAAATAAAAAAAAAATACTCTGTTAGTTAGCAAGAGTTGGCTCTGCATCGAGCACCATCTCATTTTATGTGGCGTGAGAGTCACACACCACCCGAAATCCGATCGTTCAGACTGAGACATATGTCCCGGTATTTGAATAGGATTTTAAACCACATATGGATGTAGCTTGCCTTGAAACGGATTTCATGTGCTTTTCTGGGCTGACAATCTGAACGTATGTCGGGATAAGAAATAGAAGGAAGAATTGCAGTATGGGCTAGCTCTCTTAATTTTTTTTTATTTTTGTAGTTCTTTAAAGCACTTAGTCAGTGGCAGTTATAAAATGTTCTGTATAAATAAAATCAACTTGAACTTGAATCTTATCTACCAGTGGGAGTACTATGTAAAAAAAAAATTGGTTGAGTTCTGTGAAGAGAAATGTTATGTGTTATATGAAGTGTGTACTTCAATGTACTTCTTATTATAGGCTACCATTAAAATGTGAAGCGGATGCATAATCTCAGCACATTTGTTATCTTGTTTTTCCTCTAGACTAGTGTGGGAAGTCACACAGCTGGTTTTAGAGTACTGGACTGCTTGTTTCCATTTCATTAAAATAGCTTAACCCGTTTAATCCCACCGGTCACAATTGTGACCGCAGCTTTTTTCTTATTTCTGGAAGCTCTAAAAATGTTGTTATTGACTTTGGGCAAGAAATTCAACTTTTAAATGACAAAATAGACTGTCTTGATTAAAATCAATTAATGTCATGTGACTAGTGTGAAAGGTCACATGACCAGATCAGGTCACTTCCTGCTTGCACATCTAGAAGAAGATTTCTTCCTCAGACTACTAAAATAAGTAGTATATAAAACATCTTAATTTACAGATAGAACTATCAAATTTTGTACATATGTTCTTTAAAGGGTCTACTACTGATATATTTTGAGAATTATACTCCTGCATTTATATTTTGCTCGTAAGACTTGTAAATTTGTTTACGGTCACAATTGTGACCGGTAGTATAACAGTATAGCAGTGCTTCAATTGAAAACACAGGTACAGTATAGGCAGATATTGGCGGGTATTGGCAATCCTACACTGAATATGCCACATCTGTGATGAGGATGGATGATCACGGCGAAGGAGAAGTGCTCACTAACACAGACTTAGACAGCTTTGTGAACAATATTTGATAGAAATAGGCCTTTTGTGTACATAGAAATGGTCTAGATCTTTGAGTTCAGCTCATGAAAAATGGGGGCAAAAACAAAAGTGTTGCATTTATAATTTTGTTTAGTGCAGTTATCAGTATCCCAGAAACGTTCAATGTGTTGGACCTTCTGGACGTGCATGACCCCCTTCCCCCCACCCCAAATTGAAAGTGACTGTAATAGTGATGGCTCAGATAGGGAGTCCCAGGGTGGAACGGCCCATTTGCCAGGTAGACTATTGAATGGCGATGCAGATGTGATCTGGAGGATTGTGCAGATGTTCATGAGAACCAAATGGTGTGCCTCACACATGACCACAAACAACCCTTTCTACAACATTCGGCCCATCTTCAGTGCACTGAAAGAGTGCACACACATCTACCTGAAACTGGCCTAGGACAGGGCCCAAGTGTAGACATGGTCTAGCCCATAGGGGTCTAGCCGAACAAGCAGAAGTTCCTCCAGGGTGTAACTTTGTTCATGACAACCTTTTCACCTCACTAAGCCTTCTTTACGAAATGACAAAACGAGATATTGGATGTCTTGTAATGAATTGTGTCAATAGGTCAAATTGAAGAATTTGAATGAATTCTTACTATGTAGTTTCCCACCGGTCACTATTGTGACCGAGTATAAAACCTAATATTTCACTAACTTAACCAACATAAAATCAAAAAAGGCATATTGTTTGAGTGTTAGGGAGGTCTAAGGAGTAAAATGCATGTACTCAAGTTGCAAGAAAAAATTTGGGATTAAACGGGTTAATGCATAGCCT